GAAAACGATTTTTTAATTACTAGCTGTTTGGCTGCTATTCATATAGAAGTTTGCTCAGCAAATTTGACCTGGCCCATAAAATGTCCTAATATATGGGTAATTATTCGAGATACATTTCATTGATGACAATCATTCCTAGGTGCCGAAATCGATTTTTGGTTAATTTAAGCTACCCCTTTAGTAGTTCGCTCAGTATATTTGACCTGGCCTATAAATTGTTTTAATATAGAGTATTTTTCTGTTCACACCGGTAGTTTATAGCAGCAGAGCAGTGTTAGAAAAAAACTGCCTGATTATATCGAAACCAAACAAGAATAAATTACAAATTCTGCTGAATGGGTGTAAGCAGTTAGCGATATTGCGTTTGGGCCTGCCCGTCAGTGGCGATCTAAATGAGTTATTGTTTTCCGTAGACATCATAAAAGGTCTAAACTACTACTTCCTTGAATTATACACGTTCGTTCGAAAGTTAGAAAATTTACTTCCACCTATACTTAACACTTATTCTGAGATACCCTATACACAGGGTGTTTGTTCCTTAATGATATGCGAATATTTAAGGGTGTGAATCTACATGAAAAAATAATGTTACTTTGCTTTATAAACTATGGTCCAAAAATGTTTCCTTACAAAAACTCGGGGTGTTGAAGTTTTAGGAAAAAAATGGAAATTAATTAATATTTTCAGAACCGCTTCAGATATTTCACTGATATTTAGGCCCTGTATCGTCAGTCGTCCCTACAATTGTAGGGCGCGTTTATGGCCTCCTTGATTTCGGTAATATTACGTCTTCTTCGTTAACGTACATGTATGTCCTTCTTTTGACTTCCGACATACTGACAGTTCTGGCTCAGATATTTCACTGATATTTAGGCCCGTATCGTCAGTCGTCCCTATAATTGTAGAGCGCGTTTATGGCCTCCTTGATTTCGGTAATATTACGTCTTCTTCGTTAACGTACATGTATGTCCTTCTTTTGACTTCCGACATACTGACAGTTCTGGCTTGAGGTTATGTTGTTGTTTTGACGTTCAATGCAAAGCAGAACCATAATTTATAAGTTTCTTGCAAATAATATCGTTCACTCAAAAATACCTCGCTACATTGAACAAATTCCACAACCTGTGGTATCTTCAAGAAATTGTTGAGTTAGGAAAATTAATGCACATGGATATATTATAATATTATATTTGTGTGTATGAAAGTCCAGAAGCTTACAACCAAGCTATTCTCTTGATGAAGGTTGGCAAGTTACAAAACAAATCATTGCATATCCATATTATATACTTATCGCATTATTTTCAGGTGTGATTCATTCTCACAGACTTTATGAGATGATTCCTCCATGGATAGGAAACATTGTATGGCAAGTGCAATTATTGCATTGTCGATGTCAGAGATGCTTTTTCACAAATGATTGTGAGACTCTAGATTGTATAGAGTGTCAGGCACAAGTATGTAGAATGTGTGTATGTGAAGATCATAATTACTATTATTGACCATCTATTTCAGGGTGCTCAAAATGCCATGGTCATGTGGGATTACCAAAAATGAAGTGTTACAGAGAGTAAACAGAAGAATAGAGTTGCAGCATGAAGCAAAATCAGAAAAACTTTATGACAATTCCATAATTAATTACGAATCGGAAAATAAAAGAAGATTGTGACTCATCAAGGGAATTACTTTCCTGTTAAATCACTATCAATAATGGAGCCTTCAGCTAATGAGCATACCTCAGTGGTATCATCAAGAACAAGGATATCAATGCACTGAGCCTCAAAGAACAATATGTTGTATTTATCAAATGTGTTGCACCATATATTAATGTTGTAGAATGTGGTATATGAAGAAAAAGTGAGGACAGCTAAATACAGTTCCAATTTGTTCATTGACTTGTAATCTTAACATAAAAGGGAAAATCTACTAAAACTGTGTCATAGGAAAGAAAAACATTTACTGTTTGAGAAAGAAATATCAAAAACTGAATAGGTTTGATATTTGAAACACTGATATGAAGAGCAGATTTTGCTAGTTATGATAGTCACAGTAAAAAAAAAATATGAATTATTTGGCTCGAAAGTCTGCATTCATCTCCTGAAGTATTGGTAGCTGCAATTTAGTTTGTTTCCTAATTTAATGTCCATATCTAGGGGGGTGGTTCCAGATCCATCTTAAGATGAAAACTTCAAGTGATCGTATATCCTAAATGTTTTAACTTTTGAAACAAAGGGTGGTAAAAAAGGTAAAAAAAAATAAATCCTAGATTATGAATATCCGTATTACCACTTAATGAAATTTGGCATACATCTAAACGTGTCAAGAGGCACTCTTTTAATTTTACCTGCCTGTTTTGATAGACAGTGATGGTATGCTGTTTATTTCTCTCTAATTAAAAACCACTTCGAAGCAAAAATCGATCCGAAATGATTTTTTTTCAATCTGATGCACGGTTTTTATAAAACCGATCATAACAATATTGTTAACATGACAATATCACCATGCAGAAAATTCTTTTAGTCTGACGCGCGGTTTTCACCTAAAAAATACAATCTATTTCTCGACATAGTGACATTATCACACTAACGATATTAGGATCATGCAAAGAAACGTTATTTTATTTTTGTGAACGAAAACCGTCCATCGGAGTGAACAAAAATTAAGCAATCAAATTTGCCTAGAAATGACGTGATTTCAATTAAAAGTTTTCATTTTAAGAGAAACCAGTTGCGTACTATCATTGTCTGCCAAAATAAGCAAGTGAAATCGGTACGAACGTCGCTGGTGGAAATCAAAAGAAAATTCGTACATTAAAAATACCTCTTGATAGTACATATATGCAGTATTTTGATAAAGTATTTAAAATGATATTACAAATCGTAACAAAAAAAATGATTGATTTTTAAAAAGCTTACTACCCTGTTTCTCAAAAGTCAAGACGTTTAGGACATACAATTATATGAAGTTTTCTTCTTAAAATGGAACCAAAAGTCGTTCTCTTAAATATTGATAGTCAATTGGAGATCAACTTATATATTTTATGTAAGTAAATTTGATTTTATTAAAAAGGTTAGTGTAAAACACTATTGTAGTTTTTAATTTTGGATATGTTTTTTAGACTATATATTTGTTCATATTTCCTCTTATTATTTGTACCTTTTAGATGTAAAGACTTCATTTGATTACTGATACTTAGGTATTTTGACATACGATCTATGAATTCCTTAACAATCTCATGTATCATATTTTGCAGTTGGTACTTGCAGAATATAAATAAAAGAATACTACCAAGTATTCTTTTATTTATATTCTGCAAGTACCAACTGGAAAATATGATACATAAAATTGTTAAGGAATTCATAGATCGTATGTCAAAATACCTACGTACCAGTAATCAAATGAAGTCTTTATATCAAAAATGTACAAATAATAACAGGAAATATGAACAAATATATAGTCAAAAAAACATATCCAAAATGTAAAACTACAATAGTGTTTCCCAATAACCTTTTTAATAAAATCAAATTTACTTACATTAAATATATAAGTTGTTTTCCAATTGAATGTCAATGTTTAAGAAGACAACTTTTGGTTCCATTTTAAGAAGAAAACTTCATATAATTGTATGTCCTAAACGTCTTGACTTTTGAGTAACAGGGTAGCAAGCTTTTTAAAAATCAATCATTTTTTTTGTTCCGATCTGTAATATCACATTTCTAGGCAAATTTGATTGCTTAATTTTTGTTCACTCCGGTGATTGAAAACTTTAATAAGAGAGAAATAAACAGCATATCATCACTGTCTATCAAAACAGGCAGGTAAAATTAAAAGAGTGCCTCTTGACACGTTTAGATGTATGCCAAATTTCATTAAGTGGTAATACGGATATTCATAATCTACGATTTATTTTTTTTACCTTTTTTACCACCCTTTGTTTCAAAAGTTAAAACATTTAGGATATACGATCACTTGAAGTTTTCATCTTAAGATGGACCTGGAACCACCCCCCTAGATATGGACATTAAATTAGGAAACAAACTAAATTGCAGCTACCAATACTTCAGGAGATGAATGCAGACTTTCGAGCCAAAGATTTCATTTTTTTTTTTACTGTGACTATCATAACTAGCAAAATCTGCTCTTCATATCAGTGTTTCAAATATCAAACCTATTCAGTTTTTGATATTTCTTTCTCAAACAGTAAATGTTTTTCTTTCCTATGCCACAGTTTTAGTAGATTTCTCCTTTTATGTTAAGATTACAAGTCAATGAACAAATTGGAACTGTATTTAGCTGTCCTCACTTTTTCTTCATATACCACATACTACAACATTAATATAATGGTGCAACACATTTGATAAATGCAACATATTGTTCTTTGAGGTTCAGTGCATTGAATGAAATCCTTGTTCTTGATGATACCACTGAGGTATGCTCATTAGCTTCCATTATTGATAGTGATTTAAATCCAAAATTCATAGCCAGCAGTTTAAATACAAATCAAATTCTGTACCGCAGAGCCATGTTAGGTTTTCATTTAAGCCTAAAATAAGTCTTACATGTTAAGTTCATGATAAAGTTGGGAGTTTTAATTTGATACTTGCAACATCTATCCACCTGTTATGATGTGTGAATTATGAATGCAATGAAACTATCTTAAAACTACCTATTAGAGGGCTTAACCCAGTCTGACTTTGAGGTAACTCCAATTTTCAACATATTGGGCCTTTTCCGCTTATCTAGTTGTTTGAATTGTTTGGAGTTTTTTTAACAGGAAAGTAATTCCCTTGATGAGTCACAATCTTCTTTTATTTTCCGATTCGTAATTAATTATGGAATTGTCATAAAGTTTTTCTGATTTTGCTTCATGCTGCAACTCTATTCTTCTGTTTACTCTCTGTAACACTACATTTTTGGTAATCCCACATGACCATGGCATTTTGAGCACCCTGAAATAAAAGAAACTTATAAATTATGGTTCTGCTTTCCATTGAACGTCAAAACAACAACATAACCAGGGGGTATTCACTCTTATGGCATGAATTGGAACAGTGTTTTTAGTTGGAGACCAATCTGTAGGATGCCGCTGGTATCGCTATTGTCATTTGTCGGAATTAGAAGCTGATATTTGACAGCTGTCAGTGACGTGGCCTGGCTTGTGTTCCTCTCAGGTTCCTCTCCTCCCCAGAGATAAACCCAGTGATGATAAACCAGTTGGTTCTTTCCTTGTGAAAACGGATTATCGTTGTGGATGCTTCCTTTCTTCTTTGTGTTTGGACCGTTTAATACTTTTATTTTTTCTTTATGTGTGGTGAAGTTTGAGTGATTACGGCGCTTGTTTATTGCAGCATGTAAGTATAGTGATATAATGTAGTTTTATAGGCTAAGATGATGGGTACAAAACTTCAGGGCCGTCGACAAGAGAGGAGCTCGTGGCTCAGCAAGGGGGGTCCGGCGCTGAGGGGAGCCCGAGGCTCGCTTACTGAACTGGACAGACGTCCTTAGGTTCGCTCATGTCAAGAAAAGGGCCCGAGAATATTTCGGCATGGGGGCTCGAGAATTTTCCGGCATAGCAGCCCGAGCTTATTTCTCAACGGTCCTGCTTATCTAAATATGTTGCTAAAATCATCAATTTTAATATTGTGTCATTACAGTATTACTACATTATTACAACTGCAAAAGTTAAATTTGATTTTGTTTATGTTGTCATGTCTTCTTAGAGCTTAGCGACATTTCTATTTACTTGAGTCATTTAACTTGAACATATTTTTGTAACTGAACGTTGTTTTTCAGAAACCATGTCTCGGTACCGCAAATGTGCAGGACAGGCTATCAGGACAGTGTTTCAATACGGCATAGATTCCTGATCAACAAATATCCAACACGACTGATGAAATTCTTGGTATGTTGGTTTGTTTTATTTTTAGTATCACCCAATTTTACATATGTCAACTTCACTTACATATATTCAGCTTTTTGGAAACTGTTATAATTAGTGACTTTAAACAGTGTTTAGTACAAGTGATTGATACTACATAACTATAGTCTGTTTATTGAAGGAAGAGTAAATCCAAACATATACATGCATATTTTACATGACTGGTGAGGCTACATGCACCTTCGTGTTGTCTCCTGCTCCACCCTCCTGGTTTGGCATTGGCAGACAACACAGTGCATGTAGCAAGTCACATAAAATATGTGTGAACATGTTTGGGTTTGGTATCTGTCTTCAATAAACGAAGTATATAGTTAATATTTTCCATATAAAACTCATTTCAACTCATTGATGGTAATCATTTATATTTGGAATAAGTTAGACTAAGCTCCAGTTAACACTAGGAATGTTATAAGGTGAATATTTATACAGGGAAACTAGAGATAACATTATCTTAACTGCAAACACCTCATTGGTAGTTGTTTCAATCATTCCCAGAATGGGCTCCAAAACAGTTTATTGATGATAGCACAGTAACTGTATGAAACATTATAAAATTGATCATGTATTTTTTTTTTGATAGTGTAAATTGTGTGGTTACAGGAAAACCAGCAACTTCAGCATCATCACAACAGTTGGGAGAAGTTTGCTCAGTTACCACCTCACAACCAGAAAATCTTGATTAGTAACTACAGTAGAAGGAGTGAGGAGCATTATTCAGAAGCAAGTGAGTAAAGTAATTTTGCATGAATATCTTAGCCTATTATACCAAGGGAAACACTGTTTTCCAAAAAAAGCAAATCTTAATAGAAGTTCTTCAAAATTGTGAAAGTTTGAAAAGAACATTAGTTTCTATACATAATAATACCTACTAATAATAATAATTTTAATTTCAAATCACATCAGCATAATATAAACTTTAAACGAAGTTTGGTCAACTTTGACTATCAATCACTTGCATTTATTTACAAATGGAACATTTTATTGAATGTATTGTCTTGTAGTCTTGTAAAAATACAGTTGTAATGGATTCTTAAGATATATAATAATAATAATAATATGTATTCACTCAATGTACAAAGATATCAAACAATGTGAGTAAATAAATATAAAATCAAAATAATAATATATAATATAATATCAATTTCATTCTTTATTTCAAGGTTCCTCAAGGACAGAATCTGGATTATTGCATAAGGTACATGTAACCAGAGAAACCCACTTAAGTCCAAAAGCTAAAAACCTATATAAGATAGCCAGTCACCTCTCTAGAGCTAACAGAAGACTAGGATATACAAGAAGGTTGATTAGAAGTACAAGAGAAGTATTAAATGAGGCATTGCAGCGATTGGACAGCACTGTAGCTACTTTCATCAAAAGCCAGATCACACTGGCTGGTAGTAAATCACAGGGATGCAGATATAGCTTAGAAGACAAATTGATGGGACTTATACTTCATAAACAAAGTGGTAGGGGATGTCGAGCATTATCAAAAATATTTGCTTTGCCCTCAAAAAAAACAGTAATGCAGCTATTAAACCGGATTCCCATCAATCCAGGTGTAAATGATGTATTTTTTAAAGAAGGGAATACTTGCATTCAAGAGAGCCATTAAGAACCATCTTCTGGGGTCTGCTAGCCAAGCTAGCTGATATATATATTTGTTAGAGCGGGCCGTGTAGTATAGATGTATAACATCTTAAGATTACTCTATTTAAGCCTTAATTATTGTGTATATTAGTTAGTCGATTGCTATTCATTGTTATATCTTTTTTTTTTGTATGTGTTTCTGCGCCGTGAGGTTAAGTGGTAGAGTAGCCAGCTGGGGAAACTTCGCCTCGCAGTGTGGATGGATTTCTAAAGACATTATTATTATTATTATATTTAGCTTTGTGAGAAAAGGTGATATAATTTGTATATGAATGATTGACCATAAAATGACTATAATTATTTCTTTAATTTTAATTCCTCCCTTCGCATCCACTGGAAAGATCTTCCAAAAGCTATTTTACGTAATAAAAACACTCCGAATGGTTTAATTTCTGCTATATTAGTCATTAATACGTGACGCGCGACTCACCCCAGCATTGGAGAAAGACACTGTGTCGAAATGCGCGTCATGTATTAATTACTAAGAAAGTGGAAATTAACCCATTTGGAGTGTTTTTGTTACGTAATACGATTTATTATTAACAGAATGTAAAAAGCCCCATTAGGTTTGTCCTATTAAGATGGAAAGGCCCATTATTCAGCACTGGTCGCAGAAATACGGTAACTTATTTTAGTATTGGAGTTTCCCATCTCTAGAAGGGTTTATCTCTGAACATAACCTCAAGCCAGAACTGTCAGTATGTCGGAAATCAAAAGCAGCACATACATGTACGAAACTATTCGTCATTTGTTTGTCTGGGCGGTACGTATGACCTTTGCCCATTAGTCACTGTCTGATGTACGTTAGTCGAATCTGTCAGTCCTGGTTGCCCAGAAACCAGACAAAGTCAAGGAAAAATAGAAAGGGAAAGAGAAGAAAAAAGGAGAAGAGCAAAGAAAAACAGATATGCTTAGTTTAAGAGGAAACACCTAGGCTTTCTGACTTGGTACACGGATTAATTTTGAGGTGAACTAAACAAATTTTTTGATTCGGTTTTGTTAGTGTAATTTTGAGTTTACTAAAGATTCACGCTAACTTTTGATTACAGTGCGAGCCGTGGCCTTGAATGTTTACGAACTTGCTCCACTGTGTAGTCCACTGAGTCACGCAACAGAGGGTTGCTGTGCGATTCCGCTTGACTATAACGTCGCTGCGCCTGAAGCTTGACATAATCCCCCAAGTAAGGAATGTCAAGGTCTCTGTGTAGTGTCTCATTTGAGACATACCATGGAGCGTTACAAATTGTCCGCAAAGTTCTGCTTTGCAGTACTTGAAGACTTTGCATGTGTGTCTTGGCAAGAAAACACCAAGCCGCACATGCATAAGTAATGGCTGGTCTAGTAATCATTTTATATAGTCGAACTTTGTTTATCAAACTCAATTTGGAGGATCTACATAACAAAGGATATACAAATTGTCCGCAAAGTTCTGCTTTGCAGTACTAAGACTTTGCATGTGTGTCTTGGCAAGAAAACACCAAGCCGCACATGCATAAGTAATGGCTGGTCTAGTAATCATTTTATATAGTCGAACTTTGTTTATCAAACTCAATTTGGAGGATCTACATAACAAAGGATATAGTTGCCGAAACGCAATTTGGAATTTTGTTTTTATGGATGCTGTACGTTTCTGCCAGGTCATGCCTTTATCAAGGGTGACACCGAGATACTTGGCAGAATTTATCCATGGTACACGATTTCCGTCTACAGAAACCTCTGCTGGGGGGCCGCGACGTTTTTTGGTACAATACATAGTCTGCGTTTTCGAATGATTAATTTTTATCAGCCATCGTTCCGCCCACTCTAGAACTTCGTCCACCGCATTCTGCAACCCATCGTGAACCAGATCACCAGTACACGACTGGGCGACAAGTGCAGTGTCGTCAGCATAGAGGTAGACTTCACAGTTGCTGGGGGAAGGGACATCATGGATGAAAAGCGAATAAAGAATTGGTCCTAGGACTGAAACCTGAGGAACACCGGCCCGTACTGGCCGTGTTGTTGACAAAACATTTTGATCCGAAACTTCCTGCCTTCAAGAAAGGATTTCAGTAATTTTAGAAGCCAAAAAGGGAAACCCTTTTGGATTAGTTTATAGAGGAGGCCCGCGTGCCACACCTTGTCAAAGGCTTTTGAGACATCCAAAAGCAAGATGCCAGTACTCATGCTGAGGGTGAACCCTCTGGTTACATGCTCAACCAGCCTTGACTGCCTGTAGCTTGGACGTCAGTAATCACATGGTCATTTGACGAAAAATTCTCAAGGTAACGATAAATCACCTTTTCGGCGAGCTTAGAAGGAGCTGACAGCAGACTTATGGGACGGTAATCCTGAGGAAATATCGAACCCACCTTCTTTGGAATCATGATGACCTCAGCAGTCTTCCACCCAGCAGGGAAGTACTGGATTTTGAGCGTCGCATTCATTATTATCACCAAGTAGGACATACATGTACGTTAACAAAGAAGACGTAATATTACCGAAATCAAGGAGGCCATAAACGCGCCCTACAATTGTAGGGCCGACTGACGATACGGGCCTTAGTACGCAGTGAAAGTGAATAAAGTTGCATATTTTTCAATGTAAAAATAATTTTTAGCTTTAACAGTGGCGTGCGTACAAGTATTGATTTAAGAAAAAATGGTACGCCAGTGGTTTTTTGCCAAATAAAAATTATTTTTGAATTCCCCGTTCAATTTAAAACAAATGATCTCTTCTGAATTGTTTTCCTTCGATGCGCCATTTTTGATTAAAAAAATAAAAACCGTTCTATCGTCCGAGCAAAATTAATGTAATAATTGAAGAATGCAATTTAGCAATAACTATCTGGTTGCTCTGGAATATGTCACTGACAAGTCTCTGTTATTCAAATCTGTTCGCTCTGACGCCTTTTTCATTATTTAGTTTTTACAATCTTGTTAATAATGGTGAATTATATAGCCTTGCCGACGGTAATGGTGAGCAAGCCAGACGAATTTATCACCAGAGATATCCCAATCGTGCTTTGCCAGATAGTCGAACCTTTTCTAATATTCATCGTCGTCTTGTTGAAACTGGTTCTGTCCAAAAAGGAAAATCTGAAGGTAGACCTCTAAGTTTGAGAACATCTGAAATTGCGGAAGCAGTGCTGCACGAAGTCGTAGAACATCCTGAAACGAGTACGAGGAAGATCGCTAGACACTTAAATATTTGCCATCAAATTGTTTGGAGAATTTTAGTAGATTTTTTGTTATATCCTTACCATATTTTAAGGGTACAGGAATTACTTCCCATTGATTTTCCAAGGTGTGTGACCCTTTGTCAGTGGTATCTTCAAAAAATTACACAAACTCCGCAATTTGAATCAATTTGTACCCCTACTGAGCGGGGCCGCGGCAAATGCTTGTTCCGGAAGTTGGTGTATCCAGTATACAACTTCTTCCCGTTCAAGTGATTGTACACGCGTCAAGGAATACCTCAGTACCGATTGCCGGATGGCGGTACAGGTCCGCCAACGGGTCACTTTATGTCTATTTAATATCACTAACACGTAAAAAGGAGGTGGTAGACAAGGACCAGTCGACCGAGGCGGTACCACCCGCTAGCTTTTTCCAGGGTGTCTTATACATATCCGCATGTTTCCACGCCTAAGCTATGCAGTCGGCTATCTTCCAAACCAAAGAAGTTAATGATGATGGATCCCTCGAGCACTAAGAACTCCGGACGTAAACTCACTCCACTCTCGGAATATCCGGGTGGAGGGTGGTCTCGAGAAAACAACATCGAAGATAAAATTTGTTTTTCTAACATCTGCGGGATTGATGCTGTTCATTACTACCTGCAATCCAATCGTCCCGCCGTGCTTTTCTTGGCGGAGACAAAAATCTCAGAGTCTGCACCGATTAACCATCTCAACTTCCCAAACTACGAGGTGCACTCCAATCTGAGAAAGAACGGGAGAATTGTGGCTTTTGTTCGCAGCAGTCTTTCCTGCTCCAGAGATGTTTCTTTGGAATCAGACCTGAACGACATTCTGTGGATTCGCCTCAACTCCAAAACATCACACAAATTTATTTGCTGCCTTTATCGCTCTCCCTCGGACCATAACTGGAATGACCTACTCGAATACCTCGCCGTCCAGATAGACTTTCTGAACATCAATCACCCCGCTTCAGAGATAGTTCTTCTCGGTGATTTCAATGCCCATAATGAGCTTTGGTTGGGCTCAAACAAGACCGATGCAGCAGGTCGTGCAGTCGAAGCGTTCGCTCTTACTCAAGGGCTGACCCAGCTGGTGACGAGCCCTACTTTTTTTTCCGCATCTCGTCGCACGCCAGTAGACTGCTGGATCTCTTACAGCACTGCTGTCCTGTCCCCCCTAGGTAACTCAGACCACGGTGTTGTGGAGGCTAGGTTTCGGTCAGAACCCGCTGTTGCAGCAGAAACTCGCACTTGCCGCAAAAATTGGCATTACGGACATGCCGACTTCGAGGGGATCAGAGACTTCTTCTCTAGCTTTCCTTGAAGAGATGTCTGTTTCACTGACGCGGATGCGTCGGCTGTTTGTTCTTCGATAACAGAAATTATTCACGTCGGAATGGAGGAATACATCCCTCACACAGTGAAAGTGCCTAAACCAGGGTCCAACGGCTGCTTTAACAAATCGTGTGAAACTGCTCGCCAGCAGAAGATCAAGCCACACAGAACCTTCTTACAAAACCCCACTATAGAGAACAGACTAGGCGACGTGTGCAGAAACAAATATAACGAAGCGGTTCGCAATGCCAAAAACCAGCACGATATAAAAGTTAGGCACAGGGTAATGTCGCAGCGCAATGTCAGTCGGTCTTCCTGGACGCTGGCCAAGCAGATTGAAAAGAACTTCTCACACAGTAGCCTTCCACCACTTACGTGTCAGGATGGAACTATTGTATTCGACTCAAAGGCCAAGGCGGATGTGCTAGCCAAGATTTTTGCTGCCAGCTC